CCCCAAAACCCCAAAACCCCAAAACCCCTTTTTCTATGATTTGCATAGAATCTTATGCAAAAATGACATCAACTTCATCATTATAGTTGTACTTCTTCTGGATTTGTAGCTGCTGGTCTGAGTATACAGCATTACTTGAGACATCAATGAACTTTATGGCTTTGTTCTCATACAGTTTCCCTATAATTGCAGAGACTACCTTGTGGTCGAGCTGGTTATTTGACAAATTCACCGTCTAGAATTTACATGAGCCAAGCATACCTCCAGTGTTGGGCTGTCCTTGAAGAATCTGGTCACGTTCAGAGCTTGCCTTGCTTGCAAGTGGAACTGGTTAAATTGCAAGTGTTTGATCACTCTGAAGCACCCTGCGAAGTAAGCCTCTGCAAAAGCTTGCTCTGACTTCTCTGTAAATTTTATCTGAGCCGCTACAAATTTAGATGTGAGCAATTACCCTGGTCTTCTTTATCAGCTCTGATTATTAGCTTTGAGAAGTACATCTTGGGGTGTTCCTGAAAAGTAGCGATCGTCGCTAAGATTATACATAGGTTGATCATGCCCTCGTCCCCATTGACTTTGAACTCTCCCTCTAGGATTTCTAAAGGTGAGAATTTGGACTTACTTGATTGGCCAAAGATGTAGTGATCGAACTGCTCAAGTTCCTTGATGGACAAAATCTTTATTCCAATGAACTCTTTCTGAAGGATAAGTTTCTTGATTCTATATGTGAGTTGGCTAGGCTACATTAAGGTATCGTCATAGCTTGGGAGGTCCTTTGCCTATATAATTAGTAGAAGAGGGACACCTTCTGTCTTTCTTCGAATGCGAAAGCTGCCTCTTCATCATAGAACACATGCTTGGATCTCCAAATGCTGACTAAAAACCCAACGAGTCCTGATATTGGGCTCATGAAGATGATGACACTGGCAGCCTAGAATGAGAGTTAAATCTTACTGTTTCAAATCCGTTTATGTCATTCCCAAGCGTTGCAAGGAATGATGCAAAGAAGCAATGAGCTGATACAGCAAGCATAGCTATTTTCTAAATCCCTGAGACAGTATTCAATACCATATGGTTGTACTTGTTGATCACATACGGCATTATTAAAAGCCAATATGCGAGGAAGGAAGCAGTCAGTATACAACACACCAGTGGTGGGAAGTAATACCTTGTAGGGCCAAAGATTGCAATGATCATTATGACTGCCTTGAGGACCATTTCTTTGCAAATTAGTCTATTTACACCCTTCTTGATCCTCCATTCGTACCCTCTGAAGTGCATTTCTTCTTCTTTAGCTAGGTTGCGAACCACAGCTCCAACAATGAGCATGAGAAGTGTGACCATTGAGAACGAAAAGAGCAGGAGTTGTTGCCATGATTCTCATTCTAGGGGTTTAAACAGCAAGAACTTACGCCAGTTTAGGTTCCTTGAGAGGACCCTTACTCCTTCGACTCTCACTCAGTCATAAGTCTGTAGGAGCATTTTCATGATGGGGATTGCGAAAAAGCCGAAGAAGAAGTATTCAAAGATGACCATTGAAAGGAAGTCCTCCAGGGCATCGAATCAGCAGCATCAGTCAATGTCTCAGAACCCGAATACTATGGGTTAGCGTACTGGCTTACCTCCTCCGCAGGAGAATATGGCGAATATGAAGATCACGACTATGCAGGTGATTACTGAGATTATGTACGCTTGGTCGCTGAAATGGATGCTGAAGACGTTGAGCACCTTGGCGAGGTCGTAGATACCTTCGATCCATGATATACCCATAAAGATAGACACCCACATAAACTCTATACATCATTTGGAGTCTTACGAAGAGCTTGGATTATTTGGTCAAGGAAGAAGAAGATTATCATGAACCAGATTGAAGAGCAGCATAGAATAACTGATTTCCTTGCGATCTTCTTCCTTTTCTCATTTTCTTTTTCGTCATTATCTTCAGTGGGAACATTCTGTTGTTCTGGATCAAGCATTGGCTCACTGAGCTCAGGCACGGGCGCGAATGGCTCGTCTTGCAGCATATCAATGGTGACTATTCCTTTTATACCTTTACTAGATTGGGCTAAATTCTGGATGTTCTGGGTCACTACGGCTTCATAATTATTGCTTTCTAGCAATATTAGGTTTAGAATGTACCTGAATGAGGCATGTAGTCCTCAGGATTGACAAAGATCCACCCAAAATCGCTCCTGATGTAAGTCCCTACATAAATTAGACCCACTTTTGCGGTAAAGTTACCTGCGCCATTATTAATCTGTGCATTTTGAGGCTCGTAGTCAGGCCCTGTGGTCGGCACCGGCAGGTAAGGTGCTTCTCCATACACATGTGTGCTACTGGGACCATCAGCTGATCTTTCGTTTATTGGCGATGCTAATCGAAGGTTAAGCGGAGGAATATTTCCCTTTCAGAATAAGGGATTGAGCTAAGCTTACATCCATTATTCTTCTCCATTGTTAAATAGTATTATTTTTGTGTCAAATTCGAAGCATTATTTCGGGGTTTTGGGGTTTTGGGGTTTTGGGGTTTTGGGG